AGCTATTTAGGCAGGAAGAACATTCTCCAGATCCCAAAAATCTGGCCCAAAGTCTTCACATGGCAACATCAATTATTCCCTTCATGGAATATCCTTTGATACTAAAACCAATTAAGGAGCTTATTCTCTGTTAAATGTTAAATATAAAGGAATATCAAGGATTTTCAGACACCAGTAATAATCTGGAACATAAAACGGGAAAGGGCAGATATATGCAAGTTGTAAATGAGGCATTTTGGCAGCCAACAATTTATGACATTGAGAAAACAGAAGAGGCATCAAAGGAGAGGTCATGGATAAGAATAAGGATTAGAAAAGAAGGTTAGGAATCATATGTTCTTAAATATTAAGAGGAGAAGAAAGAGAAAGAAAGAAGGAAAACTCTTTAATGGGAAATTGTTTATTTAGTAAGCATGATCAGTGCCAACACTCCATGCGTAGTTTTCTACAGAATAAAGACATGTAATGATTCTCTCTGGTTGTGTGGTGTGTGTGGTTGTTTTTTTGTTTTTTTTAAATAGGGAAGTAACAGTGGAAGTGCAACCTATTTCAGGACTTGATGACAGGATGAAGTACGGATTTATTCAACCTCAGTTTTATCAGATTCCTTAATGACTTCAATATACCTCCAAATCCCTATCTACATAGAGCAGATTAGGGCGACACACTCTGTTATCAGAACTGTTGCGGAAGGCTTCCAGAAGGCAACCATTTACTGTCCTTACCAGCAGTGGTCCCATTTTTGCCACCCAGGCCACGATTTCATGAAAGCAATTTCCGCTGACCGGGGAAGGATGGGATTGTTTCAGGATGATTCAGCACATTGCCATTATTGAGTATTTATTTTATTATTAATTGTAATATACATTAAAATTATAAACCACCATACAGAATTTAAAGCCATGCGGGATCTGACAGGAGGCAGAGCTCAAGCAGTGATGTGAGCAAAGGGAGCAGCTTAAAAAGAGAAAACTCTTTCACTTCCCGCTGCTCACCTTCTGCTGTGCCCATTCAAACAGCCAACAGACCGGTAGATCTCAAAGTGGGGGGTGGGACACAGTTTAAGGCCACTTCAGAGACGCTAGGTGGCTAAAAAAGGAATCATATTACAAAGAATCATTAGAGCTTAATTGCTACCTACAGTTGTTGGTCGTCAACCCTGTGCGAACGCAGTACTGGTCTAGAACCGTAGGACCAGGGCCAGGCACAGAGCTCCTTCTGCCCTCTGCTCCTCCCTCCTGCTATCCATGGAAAATGTCTTCCCATGAATTGGTCCTGGTGCCAAGAAGGTTGGGGACCTAGCTAAAGCATAATGTACGTATAAATAAGTGATCAAGAATGAGTATGAAAAGGTAGAAGAATTGGAGGTTTAGTTTAAGTTGAAGTCATAGTTATAATGGTCCTTAGATCATTTTACACAACCTATATGAAGTTAATTTTCAATTATTAGGGATATGTGTTGTATTA